ATCTTTGATGCATCTATGATGCATCAATGATCCATCCTTTGATGCATCTATGATGCATCTATGATTCATCTATGATGCATCAATGATCCATCTTTGATGCATCTATGATGCATCAATGATCCTGTAATGTAAAAATAACAGCATAGGTCCTCTTTACTATCATAGTTCCCATAGTTTTTAGGGATCAACCGGGGATCAAACCAGCAACCTCCAGATTTAAAAGCAAACACTATAACCACTCGACTATCCATACAATATTATTACGACAATATTATATGGTTTTAGATGGATCTTTCTACAAAGCTGTCGTCTTGCGAGGTGCTCTCTTCCCCTTTGAAAGTCCCCATCAAAGATCTGACCGAGCCGGCGAAAATTCAATCTGCTAGACGAATCAACACGAGATTCGGAACCATGGTGATCGTACTACACGTCACCACATCTGCCGGCGAGGAGAGGGTGACATTTTTACCCTCGAGGTTCACCAGCCTCCTCACAGACGAAGATCTAGAATGTTTCACAAACTCTAAATTGTATAGTGTTAAATGTACGGGGATGGTGGGGAATTCCCCAAATGTGCTTATTTATAAACATTAGTTTTTAGCATGTTGTTCAGTAGTAGTAGTGCTCAGTAGTTTTTAACACTTCACTCAATTCTTTATAAATTAGTAATGTGTCTTGCTTGTAGAATAAATATTTGTAACATTATAACTGCGTTTTCAATTCCAAGTGCACCCTCAAAATAAGGGAGGGGGGTATTATATGGTATAATACTAAGCCAGTTCCTCTGGATACAAGTACAATACGATATAATACCTGAACCTGGGGGTGTCCTTCAGACACTCGGACAGTCCCAAACCCTGTCCTAAAGGGTGCACAACAAGTTTTCTATATACTATTTGCTAGGGACATGAAGTTTTTTTCGTTTGGCGAGAAGGTGAGGTTTTTTTTGTTTGGCGGGAAAATAAAAGTGAGGTTATGTAACTTGGCGGGAACCTACGCAATACGTTGTTTGGCGGGAATCGGCGGAGAAGAAGTAAGGTTTTTTTCGTTTAGCGCGAAAGTCACTTGGCGGGAAGGTGATTTTTTCGTTTGGCGCGAAAGTGAGGTTATATTACTTGGCAGGAAGGTGATTTTTTCGTCTGGCGCGAAAATAAATGTGAGGTTATGTTACTTGGCGGGAAGGAGAAGTTTTTTCGTTTAGCACGAAAGTGAGGTTATGTTTCTTGGCGGGAAGGTGGAGTTTTTTTCGTTTGGCGGGAACCTACGTATGCAATACGTAAAGTGAGGTTAGATGTTTGGCGCGAAAACAAAAGTGAGGTTAGACCACGTGGGACACCAGAGGGCGACCACGTGGGACAAAAGGGGGCATGGCCTAGGGGGAAGGGTGGGGATGAAATGCTGCTCTCTGATTGGTGGCCGCAAGAGCTGCTTTTCCTACTCTTGTACTCTCCTAAAGGCCTGCATTGGTTTGTAAACGTAGAAAATAAGGGCGTGGTATCCCGCGGGTGTATTGGTATTGGTCTTATTGTGTGGAGTACCTACTCAAGTTGCCGCCGGCGATAGGCATTGTTGAACTCCCTGCGGAAGTTACAATTGTCAATCAAAAGCAGCGAATTGAAGCTGGTATTGTGCTGCTAAAGATCGTCTACTCGTCTAACGATGCCAATAGAGGTGCTAGCTCACTTGGGACATGAGTTGGTGGTAACTTATAAACATTCGATCATCATTTTTTATCTTTTTGGTTCGTAGTTAAACTTGCAAGACACTCTCTACAGAACAAAAAAATAGTTTATTAGATAACTTACTAAAAGTAAGTTTTTCTTACATTTTAACCAAGGGACCATCATGACGTAGTTTACATTCATTTAAATTATTAGACTTTGATCCAAACTTAGATGTAAATTGTTCTACTGTTCTTAGAAATATTAACCTAGTAACATTTTTTTATTCATATGTGTATTGAAGAGAACCTTCGACCATATCTACTACTCTTTGATGGTCTTTCAGCCATTTTGCTATTATTGTTTCTGATTGTTTTGGGTTGAACATTGAATATTTTCAATTTTAAGAAATGATTGTTTAGCTTCTGTACCTTCTTAAATATATTGTAGAAAATGTAATACATTTTTTTCATCAATGACCACATGTTTCAAAGATCCTGTAAAGACTAATAAATGAAGATCTCTCAACCTGAAAACCTAATCAATATTCATTTAAAAAACGTATCAACAACTTCCATCAATTCCTGTAACCAAAATTAATTAATGAATGCTTTTAGGTTGTCAACCCAACCACAAATTACTTTCTCAGACGTCTACACGATGAGAGGCTATTTAATCAGCTGCAGGAAGGGTGTTTTTACATCATTCAAGCAATTAGCCTAACAGCTTGGTTACCCGAACACCTGTGGTCAGGTGATATGTGGAGGCAAAAACCCTTACAACCCCCAAACCCAAACCTTCCAAAAACCGTTGGTAACTTTGCTGTTGTTTTAAAATTATACTGCCAATTCACATACATAGGTTACAATAAGATATAAAAATAAGAAATAAATTTCGTGATTTACTCTTTGGGTCATGTTTATGTCATATTCACTCAAAGTTTTATAAAACTGTAGTAACATAAAACTGTTACTATTAAATATTGATAAGACACTTTGTTTTGGACATTTTCTTATCAAGTTGTAATTTTTTTATGGTTTTCTTTCAATGAAAAATATTGTTAAAAAACGTCACATTTGTCATAGTTTAAACTATGTTTTTTTTATTTTCCACGCGCTTATATACAAAAATATTCCCGTTCTATCAAGCAAAAACAGTATACAAAAAACATTTTTACAGCTATAATTATATTTCATACTTGTTAGTTACTTTTGCTTTTTGTCATCACATTTTTGTAACTTCTCAACTTAATAATCCTCTGATCTTAGTAATGGAAATGTTAATAATAAAATATTTGGTAGATAGCAATATTGGATTTTTCTTTGTTTGAAGTTCATTGTTGGTGATGGTGAGTTAATGTTGTTCAAAGGTTTATTGCGGACATTTTGATTTTGATTTTGATTGGATTTTTATGTGAATCCTGCTTTATGGCAAATTAATTCCGACGGTAAAACTTTGTTGTCAATGCTTTTGCAAAGATTTAAACCACCTCGTCGTCTCCTTTTTAAATACGCTCCCTTCCGACAATTTCTTGAATTCCTACAATGCCATTTACATACTGAAAGGTACGATTCGAAATAACTCTCGAAACGTTACGAAGCGATTTAAACGTCACCTGCGGTTTCTTTGCGAGTTGACGATTTGACTTGTAAATCTAGTGCCGAGGGACTCCCTATACTCCTGTGGGGAGCGGTTAGGGGCGCTTTTTGGGGGAGGTAATGTATGAAATGCTCAGTCCCTTAGCTTAAGTCAACAGTTGCCGTTGAGAGGACCAAATTGATTGAGGGATTGCTATTGTCCCCGCCCCAAGTCTCAAGTCAGTTTTCCCCCAGAATCTACCGTTTTCCACGTGCGGTGTTTTGAGCACGTGAGTGGAAAATGTACAACATATTCTATTAGCTTCAATTTTCAGTTTGTTTTCAGATAGATACATTTGTTCCGACAATATTTACAACACAACAAACAACAACAATATTTTAGTTGTAGTTGTACTGACGTTTTCCAGTTATGTAACCCTGCATTTTGTAAAAAGATATTCTTGATTTCTGAACAATTATTATGTGTTATAGTTGTTCTATTGTATTACTGTTAATTTCAAACAATGTTAGCTTTTATATTTAAGTTAATTTACCTTAAAAATAGCAAAAACCACAAAACAATTCAGGTTATTTTTGCATACTAGCCTACTACGTGATTATGTTTTGTTACATTGAATTGTTAATACTTTACACCCGAGTTTTATAGTTCCTCTTATTTGAAATATTGCTTAACACTTTATAATAAATATTTTTGTACTGGTCAGCTTTACAATTAATTAATATCCATTATTTCAAACCGGCTAAATTATGTTATTTACGTAATCTTTGCAAAGATCTTCCTCCAAAAATTTGGGTTTTTACTATTCGTGATGAAAAATATCCGCAAAAGATACTTACACAATTAACATAAATTACCGTCATCAAAAGTGCACTTCAAAACGAAGAGCTGATTAACTATTTTGTAATTTTTGGTAAAATAGCGTTTAATCAATTCTAAAAATCTGGCAATTTCCGGAGGGTTATCTTAAAACAATTATATAATCGTTGCAAACGGAATTTATTGTGCAATCGACGCCGTGTCTCTTATGTTAGCAATACCAGCAAAACTCTTAAACAGGTGATTTGCATGACAATCATTGTTTGGTATAATAAGAAAAATATGTACATAGAATGAAATTAATCAGTCTTAATTAGGCTAATTTTTAAAGTGCTAAACAATGTTGAATTGCTGTCACAGACCTTAGTGAAGCTGAAGAGATGTTTGGTTTGGGGTACCCCACCTGACTTGAAGCACTGGGCAATGGCGGCGTCGACGAGGACTGTCCATGTACACGTTGACCTACTTGCACTATTACAATTGTCCGTTAAATAAACAAAAAATAATTTCTTCTTGGGATAAAAACAAAACTATTGTCACTTCTATTAGCACTGTACAGACTGATTAATTTAAAGAAAAAAAAGGTAAAAATTGCGGGATGTTGAAAAGATGATGCGGATATACGATAGTAAATATGGTGATAGTTCAGCGGCGGACGACAGTGGACTGCGTCGTTTGGAAAGATATCAGTGTTGAGGGCAAAGGCCGCATACCTTCGTTAGCGGCTGAATAGCGGAAAATTACTTGGGCTAGGTTTTGTTTGAAACGGAAGAATATAAATATGGACTCGATTTAAAAATCATGAAACCTAAAATATCCAACATATCGCCCCCCTTGAACCAACCTGGTTCAATGAAAAAACTGAAAAATGGGAAAAGACAAATGAAAATAAATTGAAAGGGGGTGAAAGGGAATGCTTAGGAATTAATTGGTAGGAAGAAGGGAAACTTTGACGGTTGGCCGACTGAAGTTCCCTGTAGCGGTGCGTAGATGGACCACTCGTACAATTCCGTCTGCTCCTGGAGATACTGCGGTGATTCTTGCAAGTTTCCATTGTAGGGGAGGAGTGTTAGGCTCATGAATAACAACAAGGTCACCAATCTTGAGGTTCTCTGTTTTACTCGTCCACTTAGAGTGATGCTGTAGAGTATGCAGATACTCTTGGGACCATCGAGTCCAGATGTGTTGAGAGAATGCCTGAACTAATTGCCATCTCCTCAAGCGGTTACAAGAAGTTTCATCATATTGAGGTTCAACCATGGATTTCAGAGGTCCACCAGTTAAAAAGTGTCCTGGGGTTAGAGACTCTAAGTCATTCGGATCTCCAGAGAGAGGGGTAAGTGGTCTTGAATTTAATATTGCTTCGACACGTGACACGAGAGTTATGAATTCTTCATAAGTCAGGATTTGGCCACCGATTACTCTATGAAGGTGATGCTTAGCACTCCTAACAGCTCGTTCCCACAAGCCACCTTGATGAGGCGCGTGTGGAGGCAGAAATTTGAAAGAAATGTTGTTTTCTTCAGCAAAACGGTGAGTTACTGGATTGCAAAGGAGGTTGTTAAAACATTTGTGAAGTGCAGCAGCTGCTCCGACAAAGTTGGTTCCACAATCACTATGAATTTCCTTCACTGAACCACGTCTGGAAATAAAACGTGTAAGAGCTGCTATATAAGCTTCTGAGGACAAATCCGACACAACTTCTAAGTGTACGGCTTTCGTTGCAAAGCAGACAAATAGACAAAGATAAACTTTAATAGGCTGAAGCCTTTTTAGGACATACAATTTCACTGTAAATGGTCCGGCATAGTCGACTCCAGTAACATTAAAAGGTCGGGTTGCTACCACTCTTGGGGAAGGTAAGTCTCCCATCAATGGTGTGTTTGGCTTAGGTTTCATTCTGAAACATCTCAGGCGTTTAAAAATCCTGGAGCGTATGATACTACGAGCAGAAAGTATCCAATATTTCTCACGAAGAACAGCTTGGAGTTGTGTTGGTCCACAGTGAAGAAAGATGCGATGATGATAATCAATTATCAAATTTACAACAAAATGATCCTTTGGTAAGATAATTTGATGCTTGGCGCTGTACGGCAACTCAGAATGTTTCAGTCGTCCTCCAACTCTTAACAAACCTTCATCATCCATAAACGGTGAAAGGCGTTGAATGCGAGAAGAACACACATTCTTCTTTGACAGGGAATTAATATCCTCAGAGAAACTCTCTCTTTGAACAAGCCAACAAATCCGTTTGTTCGATACTTCTAACTCTTCAAGTGTGAGAGAATGAGTAATCCTTTGCTTAGTTTTCAAGCAGGAAATAAAACGTAAAACGTAGCCCATGACATGAAGTAGTTTAGTCCATGAAGAGAATTTATTGATAAACTTCAGATCTTGATCTTCAGCTATCGTAAGAAGATTTAGTGTTGTGGTTTTAATTTCTGGGAGTTCCTCTTCGGGAAGATGACTCGATGGTTGAGGCCATGAATCAGATGAACTCTTAAGCCATGTGGGTCCAGACCACCAGAGCTTGTTATGAATAAGAAGAGATGGGGTTAATCCTCTAGAGGCAACATCAGCGGGGTTTTCAAGAGTAGAAATGTGTTTCCATATGCAGGAAGGGGTCAATTCTTGAATCTGTGCAACACGATTTGCAACATATAACTTCAAACGATGAGAAGGGGTGTGAATCCATGAAAGAGCCACAGTGGAGTCACTCCAAGCGGTAACAGAATCTATCTTGTAGCGATCTGAGAGTTGATCAACACAGTAGTGTAACAGTTTGGCTAAAATATGTGCTCCGCACAGTTCAAGGCGAGGAATCGTGATACGTTTCAGGGGTGCCACACGTGACTTGGCTATTAATAAGTTGACATATATACTGCCTTGCGGGTTCTCAGTTCGTAGATAAACACATCCAGCAAAACCGAGTTCACTTGCATCTGAAAATCCATGCAACTGAATATTAACCGCATCACTCAGAGATATGTACCTGCCAATCTCCAAATTTTCAATCTCAGGAAGTTCGTTGACAAAAGTTGACCATCTGTCGATAATATCACTAGGAAGAGTATTATCCCAATCTAGGCCTAGTGACCATATATGCTGCATGAGAGCCTTAGCCCAAAAAATAACAGGGGTAAGCATGCCTGTTACATCTTGTTGTTGTCTTGTTGTTGGAGCATCTTGTCCATCTTAGCGATGGAAGACAAAATTGCTCTTTTGGTAAAAATCAATGGAGCTTCAGAAATTGCATATGAGAATGTGTCTGAGTGTGGATTCCACTTCAGTCCAAGAATACTAACACAAGGTGAGTCAGTTGATAAGCAGTGTTGAGGGGGTAAATTTTCCAATATTTGGCTATTGTTAGACGCCCATTTGCGAAGTTCAAAGCCTCCTTTTCGTAAAAGGTTTATTACATCTTGCTGTAATTTTGCAGCTTCTTCAACAGTATCGCTGCCTAGTAGCGCATCGTCTACGTAAATTTGTCGTTTAAGTGCATGAGCAGCAAGTTCATGATTCTTTCCTTCATCATGAATTAATTGTTGTATTACTCGATTAGCCAAAAATGGCGAAGAAGTCATACCATAAGTAACGGTTGTCAACTGAAAAACTCGAAGCGGCTGTGACATTTCTTCTCTCCAATAGATGAGTTGAAAACGTTGGTCTTGTTCATGAATAGAGATCATACGGAACATCTGTTTGATATCACAAGCAAAGGCGATCCTATTTTGACGAAAACGTAGAATTATGTCTGTTATTTAATTATGTAACTTGGGTCCTTGATGCTGTAGACTGTTAAGTGTTACACCAGTTGAAGTTTGAGAGGACGCATTAAATACAACACGTATCTTTCCATCCTTAAAGACACCGTGGTGTGGTAAGAAGCAATGATATTGGTTATTTAGATCAAATAAGTTTGAGGGTTTCATTTGACCAGAGGATTCGTAGTCATTCATAAATTCAATGTACTTTTCTTTGAAATCAGGTTGCGATTGAAACTTACGTTCAAGCGATTTGAAAGTTTGTAAAGCAACTGTAGAAGAATTTCCTAGTTTTACTGGATTTTCTTTGAACGGTAAACAACAAACATATCTTCCCGTCTCGTCACGAGAGTGAGTTTTCAAAAAATGATCTTCACATTCCATTTCCTCTGGGGATAGCTTAGAACAAGCAGGTGGTTCTTCCAATGCCCAAAATCGCTGAAGTGTTTCATGAAGTGTAAGATCATTGATGGAAAGTAAAGTCGTCAATCCACTGAAGGTTTGGCCGTCTTGTGAAGTAGGCACGTTCCCAAGGACAACATATCCAAAAATAGTGTTTATAGTGTATGGCATACGATCACCAAGACTGGTGGCAGATCCAATAATAGTTTGAGCAAACAGATCCGCACCGATGAGCAAATGTCCAGGAGTGTCGAAGTTGGGATCGGCAAGTGCGTATTCTTTGATTTGAGCCTTTATTTCAGAAGATATCTTGACACTAGGCATATCATTGGTAATTCTATCAAGTATGAGGACAGGATGTGCCGTAGCAAGTGTTTTCCCGTTAAGCGAAGAAATATTTACAAAGGAAAGTCCCTTAGGCTTTATTCGAGCTGAGGCAATGCCCTTTATCTCGTGAACGCCAACAGACGAACGCTGAATGTGAATCATACTGGCACAGTGTTCAGATATTATACTCGTTTGTGATGCACTATCAAGCACAGCTCGGACAATAATATTATGACCATTCGAGGTAGAAATTTTTACCAATGCAGTGGCAAGAAGTACAGTACAGTTGTGGCTGGCAGCACCAGTGTCTACATGAGCAGAGAGTGTATTTGATTCAAATCCTTGCGGTACAGGAGCCTTCAATTGTGTTGTGGAATTGGCCTGAGTCTTATTCGAGGGCTTAACAGATTTTTTCATTATAGGCTGGTCCGTTTTGTAAAAATGCAGTAGCGTATGGTGTCGCTTAAAACAAACTCGACACGAACTGGATGACTTACATGAGCCTAAGAAATGTCGTCCTAAACAATTAACACATAGGCTATTGTTCTTAATGAAGTTGAACCTATCGTGTGGTGATAAGGCACCAAAAACATCACAGCGAAAAATGTTATGCGATGCTCCATTGCAGTAAGCACAAGTATGAGCTTGTTCATTGTCATTAGAAGAAAGCATTACAACTTTGCTTGGCTTGGGACTAGCGGTTTGCCTACCTAGATAAGGCATGTTCTTACTACTTCCATAGTTTTTTAACTGAAGGGAAGAATTAGCATGTGAGGTCGAGCCTAAGTTAGCCGCCTCTCTGTAAGAACACTCATTTTCCAGAAAGTTTATTATTTCTGTGACAGAAGGAACCTGTTTTGAGTCATCTCGTTTTTGTTCAAAATCTGAACGCATAGCGGAATCAAGCTTTCTCAAAATATGTGTACTTAAGATCAGGTTGTCATCAGTTATGTTATGGCCAAGTGCTTTAAGAGCTTGCTGATTTCCATTAAAAATTGAAATAAAATTCCTAAGTTGTGTAACATTAGGCTTAGTAAGCTGCGGTAGGTCCAAGATGTTAGTAGAATGTAATGAAATCAAGAGCCTTGTATTGTGGTACCTCTTAAGCAGGGTTTGCCAAGCAATTACATAATTAGCACTATTTAGTGGTATAGACTTAACTAAGTTCAAAGGTTCATCTGAAAGACAGCTTATGAGATATGAGAATTTCTCAACATTAGAAATTGTTTTATTATTATGTACAGTACTTTCAAACAGGCCATGAAATGAGACCCATTGCTCAGGATTGCCAGAGAATGTTGGCAGTTTGATTTGCGGCAATTTCACAGTCAGATTAACTGTAGGAGTAGTAGGGCCTACCTCGGAAGTAGAGTCATTTAGGCGTGACTCTTCAAGTTTAACTGGTGGAAGTAACAAACTACAGTTTGACTGAATCTCAACAAAATAATCAGAAATTTTTTCTTGCAGTGAAGTAATTTTATCATCTTGAATATCTTCAGGAGTGGGAGTAGTTTGAAAAAGTTTATTTACTATTCTCTCAAATTCTGAGTGCTTGGTTATTGCACTTTGAGACAAGAGTTTAAGTTTAGCAATCTGTTGCTCGCTTAAAGTAGTCACAACCTGAGTTTCTTTCAATGCATTGACTTGTTTATTTATTGACTCAAGCCTAGCTTGAATAAGTTCACTCTGTTTGGTGAAGGAAGAAAACCTCATGTTGAAAGAAAATTAAACATAGGAAATATTCAGCACAAAACAAATCTGCAGTAATGATAAGACAATAAAATATAATTTGACTTTCCTCAATTTAATCAAATTCTCAAATGCACAAGTTAGGCCTATAGTCTATGCTTAGGCTATGGGTAGCACAGGCAAAAGCAACACTGCATAGGTAGTACAACTTAATGGTGTGCTATCAAATACATAATAATAAGAGATGCTTTCTTAACAAAATAGGTTAACTATTTATACCAATAATCCAAACTATTTTGTGGCTTAAATAGTTTAAGAAATATTTCCAAGTTTATGTGCAGTATAACTTACTTGTCGTAATCTATCATCAGCAAAATATTCACATAGGTATTTCTCATATTAATCCAGTGCACATTAAAACCATTGAAAATAATATCAGTTATATTATTTGTTTACTTATTAACTGCAATGATAATTATTTGAATCAGTCAATAAGTTCGAAATCAAAGTCAATCTTGAGTAGATTTGAGGTTATTCTGACTATCACTCAAATGTAGTAATGTAAACAAAAATCTGACAAGCTGACAGCTAAAGTGAACTGACAGGCTGACAAGCGATGCGGTAGTGAAGTCTTGATATTTGTAGCCGTAGACTCGACGTCGTAGATGGCTGTGGCAGTGACGTAGCGGTTAGCGGACAGGAAATTCCAGGAAGGAATATTGGAATAGTCTATTTGAAACAGGAACAGGAATGTCAATTTGGACTCACAATCGTACAGGAAAAGGAGCACAAATACAAAATGGCGGAATGAGCAAAATTATTCCACGCAATGAGAAACGAAATCGAAATGAAATACCATTCAGCTAGAATACGTAAAAAATGAAGTGATATTACAAGTATTCGTGGTAGGAATAAATAAAATTATGTTCTAACCAGAAACTGGTAAAATAATCCGGTTCGATGAGGCCCAAAAAATGTTTGGTATAATAAGAAAAATATGTACATAGAATGAAATTAATCAGTCTTAATTAGGCTAATTTTTAAAGTGCTAAACAATGTTGAATTGCTGTCACAGACCTTAGTGAAGCTGAAGAGATGTTTGGTTTGGGGTACCCCACCTGACTTGAAGCACTGGGCAATGGCGGCGTCGACGAGGACTGTCCATGTACACGTTGACCTACTTGCACTATTACAATTGTCCGTTAAATAAACAAAAAATAATTTCTTCTTGGGATAAAAACAAAACTATTGTCACTTCTATTAGCACTGTACAGACTGATTAATTTAAAGAAAAAAAGGTAAAAATTGCGGGATGTTGAAAAGATGATGCGGATATACGATAGTAAATATGGTGATAGTTCAGCGGCGGACGACAGTGGACTGCGTCGTTTGGAAAGATATCAGTGTTGAGGGCAAAGGCCGCATACCTTCGTTATCGCGAAGAGCGGCTGAATAGCGGAAAATTACTTGGGCTAGGTTTTGTTTGAAACGGAAGAATATAAATATGGACTGGATTTAAAAATCATGAAACCTAAAATATCCAACAATCATAGTGCGGAGCCTTTGGCGAATTTCCAACCGAGCTTTGAATTCCAATTGTATTCTTTTTTTAGCTATAAAAAGTATTAAAAACTCCTACCCAATATAAGTGCTATTTCTTTAACTACTATAGTAGTGCCGTTCAAAAGCTACATTAAATATATTTTAATATAATATATTTATTTGATAACCTGATGCAGCTACAATCAGTTAGTTACTTACTGTACAAACATTAGCTAGGTTCCTGTTGTACTAAATGACTCTGTATTGTATGAATGATGTGTATATTGATCCCCTGATGCAGCTTAATACAATCAGTCAGTTACTTATATTGTACAGGCATTAGCTACGTTCCTGTTGTACTAAATGGCTCTGTATTGTAAGAACGAACTGTATATTGATCCCCTGATGCAGCTTAATACAATC